AAACAGAAATCTCGTGCCAATTGGGTTCGTCTGGGGGATGCAAATACATCGTTCTTTCATAGAAGCGTGCATGCACGGAGAGCACAGAATGTAATATCAAGCATCGTAGGTGAGGCTGGGTGGGTTGAGGAACCTGAAATGGTAAAGGCGTAGGTAGTGAGGTATTTTTGTCAGTTATTCCAAAATGAACAATGGACTCATCCAGTGATGGGTGGGATTCAATTTTGTAGAATTTCAGCTGAATAGAGGGAGTGGCTTGAAAGGCCTTTGTCAATGAAGGAGATTGAAGAAGGATTTCATAGTTGGGATGGGTCAAAGGCACCGGGACCGGAGGGGTATAATTTTAGTTTTATAAAGTTTGCTTGGAGCACATTGAAAGATGATTTTGTGAACTTTATGTGTGAATTTCATTAGCATGGGAGGTTAGTCAAAGGTTTAAATTAATCATTTCTTGCATTAATTCCTAAGAAATTGAATCCACTTCAATTTAAAGAGTATAGGCCTATTAGTTTACTGGGGGTGTTTATATAAATTGTTGGCTAAAGTTCTGGCAAATCGATTGAAAATGGTAATGTCTGATATTATCAGTGATTCTTAGTCAGCTTTTGTTGGCGGTAGGCAGGTGGTGGATAGTGTGTTAATCTTGAATGAGGATGTGCATGAGGTAAAAAGAAGAAAGCCATAGAGCTTTATGTTTAAAGCTGATTTTGAGAAAGCGTACGATTGTGTGATTGGGGCTTTCTTGATTGGATGATGGATAGCATGGGGTTTGGGGATAAGTGGAGAAAGTGGATTCGGGAATATCTCTCAACCGCAAGGATTTCGGTGTTAATAAGCCCAACGAAGAAATTCTCTGTATCCAAAGGTCTTCGTCGACGTGATCCTTTGTCCCCTTTTCTGTTTTTATTAGTTGGGGAAGGTTTGTGTGGGATGGTAAAAAAAGCTAAGGGCGAAGGGCTTTTGAAAGGTGTGGAAATTGGAAAGGGAGGGGTGGTGTTGTTGTTAATACAATTTGTAGATGACACAGTTTTTATAGGAACGGCTGATGCAGAAAATGTTAGAGTAGTGAAAGCTATTTTTGCTTTGGTTTGAATTGATCTCTGGATTAAAGATAAATTTTAGCAAGAGTCATTTGTATGGGTTTAATATTTCAGATGGTTGGTTAAAAGGTGCTGCAGACATGTTACACTGTGAGGTGGGCAAGGTGCCTTTTATATATTTGGGTTTGTCGGTAGGAGGAAATCTTGGGGGGAAAAAGTTTTGGAAGTCAATGCTGGATCGGTTTCATTAGAAGCTTGCCACTTGGAAAAACCCACTATTGTCCTTTGGAGGCCGGATCACCTTAATAAACTCGGTACTTTCTGCTATCCTTATTTTTTATTTATCTTTATTTAAGATTCCTAAAGGTGTTCTTATTGAGTTGATTAAAATTCAGCGAAATTTTTTTTGGGGAGGAGTGAGTTTGTATAAGAAAATTCCTTGGGTTAGTTGGGAGTGTATGTGTGTGGAGAAGGGGAAGGGGGGGGTTTAGGAGTGGTTGATTTAGAGAGAAAGAATGGTGCTTTGTTGGGAAAATGGTGGTTTTGACTAGGAGATGGATTAGATGGTTTATAGAAGAGGGTGATTTGGGGAAAATATTATGGGGGTAGGAAGGAGAGGGATGTTATTTCCTTTGAGTGTTTGAATGTCTCGGGTATGGAAGGATATTGTGAGTTTGGGTAGTAGGTTGGAACGATTATCGAAGATGTTAGTAAGGGGTTTTAAGTGGGAAGTTGGGGATGGAAGTTGTGTGGATTTTTGGAGTGATAAATGGTGCGGGATAAGTCTTTGAAGGAGTTATATCCTAGGTTGTTTGTGTTAGCTACAAGGACGAAGGGATTACTAAAGGATATGGGTGTGTGGAGTGGAGAAAATTGGGTTTGGGATTGTAGGTGGAGATGCGGATGTAGAGGGCAGGCAGCAGAAGAGGAAAAATAGTTTTGGGTGATGATCAATGGAGTTAAGTTGAGGATAGATAGGGAGGATTCTTGGAAATGGGTGCATAGTAGTGATGGTTTTTATTCGGTGAAGGCAGCATATGAGTTCTAACACCGGATTCTAGTTTTTTTTGAGGAGAAATGGGCTAAGGTGATTTGGAATAGATATGTTCCTTCTAAATTGAGTGTTTTTGGGTGGAGAATGTTTTTGAATAGGTTAGCTACTAAAGAGAACTTATGTAAGAGAGGAATTGTGTTGTTAGGGGGGGATGCTGGTTGTGTGTTTTGTCATGAGGGGGTGGAGCAGCTTCATCATATTCTTTGTGAGTGTAAAAGAATATGGTTAGTATGGATGAAGGTTTTGGGTTGGTGGGGTATACAGAGTGTTTTACCAAATGATATTTTTAGTTTGGTGGAGTCAATGGTATTTGGTATAAGTGGAGGAGTTTTGAAGGATTGAGGGGCTCTCATGTTTCTGGTTATGGCTTGGTTTATTTGGCATTGGAGGAATATGTATGTGTTTATGACAGAGGTGATGTTTGAAATGCAATTATTTGAGTCTATTCAAGCGAAATCATTTTTATGGCTCAAAAACAAGGAACCAAGGTGTGTGTTTTCTTATACGGATTGGATGTTAAGGCCAAGGGAGTGCAGGGATGCTATTGTGCAACATTGCAAGAATCTAAAGAGTGTTAAGAAATTGCAATGGGCAGTAGTCTAAAAGAGTAGTGACCATGAAGGTTAAAGCTCATTTGAGTGTGTTGGTGGCTTTTTTGCTGGTGGAATTTTGGTGTTGGAAGCTTTACTAAGCTGCAGATGCAATTGTATGCAGCTTATATGTTTCGTTGTTTGGTTTGGCTATTTTTACATGAAGGCTCTGTTGATGTTTTAAAATTTTGTGATATAGTGCATCTTGGATTAGTGTGAATGGGCAAGAGTACCCCTTGTGCTCTTTACAATATAATTTGCTTTTGCTGACCAAAAAAAAGAAAAAATTTTGTCCCCAACCCTTAACATTTGAGTTGAATTAATTGAGAATTTGATTCTCACCAATCATGTGAAAAAA